TCTGATATTTAGGGTTTGATATAAGTTAGTTAATTAGTGGTATTTGGCATTTGAATCTGATTTCAGTTATGGAACTCTGATCATGGACATGTTGTTGAGGCTTGTAAAGATAGTCTTAAGAAGCTTCAGTTAGATTATCTTGATTTATATCTTGTTCACTTTCCTGTTGCCACAAGGCATACTGGTACGTTTGCTTTCTTATATATATAAAACACTCGTATATGTGTTCTATGATATAACAAATTTGTAACATTCCTCATACGTGCAGGGGTTGGTACTACTGATAGTGCTTTGGGTGAAGATGGTGTCCTGGATATAGATACAACCATATCCCTGGAAACTACATGGCATGCGATGGAAGGTCTTGTTTCATCGGGCTTGGTTCGCAGCATAGGGATCAGGTCTATTTTTGTGCTGCAAGCAATCTTCTCTATTATCCCTTCTAGTAGATGCTTTGGAATTACTTTTTATGACCTAGTTTATATGATTGAGTTTTATCTTCTATTCACCTGGAAATAGTAAAATCAAGAAAGATAAAAACAACCAATCTTGATAAGTTCTTAAGGGTTGTCGGCATCATGATAAACCGTCATTGTCTCACTATCAATTATTCACATACACCTTGAAATGTGTCCTCCATCTCCTGCATGCAAGTTTTTGATATTTTGGGATGGCTAAATATTTGAAGCTTCTGTAAAAATAAAAATAAAAAAGACTTGCCTAACTTTTGTGATCAAGTATTGATTTGAGAATTGTTTGATTCTATTTAATGAAATTAGAATCTGACTAAGAACTATTTGCAGCAACTATGATATCTTTCTGACTAGAGATTGCTTAGCATACTCCAAGATAAAGCCTGCTGTGAATCAAATTGAAACTCATCCATACTTCCAGCGTGACTCTCTTGTCAAATTTTGTCAGAAGCATGGAATTTGTGTAACCGCACACACTCCACTGGGAGGTGCTGCAGCAAACACAGAATGGTTTGGTACAGTTTCATGTTTGGATGACCAAGCTCTCACAGTGAGTTGTAAATGATAAGTTTCGACACAGATTATTAGCCTATCATCTTAGCTTCCATCCATTGTCTATCCAAAATCAGTAAATGCAACTAATTTGAGTGTCGTCTTTGTGTTGCCAATTTGATTTCAGGGTCTGGCTGAAAAATACAAAAAGACTGCTGCCCAGATTGCTCTTCGCTGGGGCATTCAAAGGAACACTGTTGTCATTCCTAAAACATCGAAACTGGAGAGATTGAAAGAGAACTTCCAGGTATTTGATTTTGAGTTGTCTAAAGACGACGTAGATCTCATCAGTAATATGGACAAGAAATATCGAACTAATCAACCGGCCAAGTTCTGGGGCATAGATCTTTACGCTTGAGAATGTTCTTTTCTAAGCATGTATCGTGGTCCCTCAAATATTCAAGAAAACATCATGTCCGTTCAACTTTGTGACTTGTATTGACCTTCTGATTTGACATATTCTAATCTTTTGGGTTATCCATAGTACCTCATTTGAGTTGATTTAATGAACTATGTTTAGTAGCGAATGTAAAATTATCTACCACTTATGAAAAAAATGGACTAATTGATGGAGAATCCAGGATATTTTGTTACTTAATTTACTTATCCATTTGTTTACCTGCATCATGGTCCATTTGGTCAACTAAACTGTCATCTATAGTACAGTTTAGTCGGTGAGTTTTTGAAATATGGAAAGTAGATATTAGCTTTTGTAGATTTTCTCGATTAAATGAGTTTCTGTTATTGCATAACAGTTCTTTCATCTTATATTCTATGCTTACTTTCTCTTTCTTTAATATGGTACAGATGGGAGTTTTGAAAAATCTTATAAATCTCATATTAAAATAAATAAATTAGATTCTCTATGAAGATTCTTGTTTCGGTCCATCATTAATCGAAGAATATTTGATGTGTCATACTTAATTGTTAGTTGGTAAATAATTTAATTTAACCTAATTATTTTAACTAACTTTTTTTAATTAATGAGAGTAGCTTTATAATTTACTAAAAACCCTAATTTATGAGACATTTCTCTTTCTTCTTCGTTTTTCAATTGTAATGTCAAGTGTTAGTTGGTAGATAATTTAATTTAACCTAATTATTCAAAGTAGCTTTTCCTAATTAATGAGAGCAACTTTTCCAGTCCTAGAAACCCTAATTTATGAGACATTCCTCTTTCTTCTTCGTTTTTGACCTTGCAAACTCATTTCAATTGTAATGTCAGAGCATTTCGTTCAAGGTTGAAGGTTAATTTGTCGTTTAGCTACATTGAGTTGACCTAACATTTGCATTTCATTCAAGGATCGTTCTTCATTTAACTTGAGAAAGACATGCTTCTTTTGTTTCAAAAAGGTACAATCTTTATACATTGTTTTACTTTGTATTGGTCCCAAATATTTGTCAATAACTATGTAAAATTTGTTTCTTTACTTTGGCAAAATTAGGTTTTCACCATGGGGTAATTTTACGATACGTTAGAGATTACCTTTATTACTTTGTGTAGGTTAAGTGATATAACCCTTGTTTATTTGTTTAATTTAAGACATGTGCATATTCAAAATCATATTTCATCATGGGGTAACCCTGTGCATGATACGTTCATGTTTTACATGGGAGAGAATAAAACCACTGTGCAAGGCAAAAATTCCGATAAGTGAAGTTACTTTGAGGCTGTTAGCTCATTTAGAGCTTGGAGTTATGAAGAATTTAGACTGTGGAGAAAAATTCCAAGACTTGATGAAAGTTATTTGCACTTTATTGATGAGGGTTAATTTCAAGACTAGTAACAGATTGCACAGAGGTATCTAGAGGTCTAAAAACAACGTTGGCCTAGGATCAAGTGCATCTGCACCAGTGGAAATTGATAACACAGTTGATGATTCTCATGGTCTTACTTAAGAAGACCCCAAATTAGAGACTTGTATTCGCAAAATGAAGTCATGGGATGAAATTACTAGGCAAAACTCATGGTAGTTTACTTTTGTATGTTTAGTGTTTTCTTAAGAACTTTGTTAATGCACAATGTGTACATATTTTGAATTTTAATGTAATGCACCATGTGTGCAGGCAATCATATCCAATGCACAATATATGCTTATTATGAAAACTTTATGTAACGCACAATGTATGCACAATTTGAAATTTAATGTAATGAATTATTGCAAGTTATTGTCCATTTTCTTTCGGTAACTTCAAGCAATATGTGTGAATTATGGCAGGTTAATGTAGCAAATTATACCAACTTATTATGTATATTATGTCAAATGGTACCGTTTCTGTCAAACTTTGGCAACATAACTGTCAAATTTTGGTTTTCATTCATTTCTGTCAATTTTTTAGACAAACTAGTGATAATTAATGCAACAAATTTTCTGTCAAACCTTGATTTTCATTCATTCAACTTCAAGTTACATTAGACATCAAGTAAAATTACATCTGAAGTTACATTGTTACATCAAACCTCATAAAAATAAAGCTGCATTTTACATTAACTTCTATTGTTACATATACCTATAAATACAACAATATAAACCCAAGAACAAATAACAACTAGAATGAAAAATTTCATCTTCTTTGTTACCCTCTAACTTTATTTTTCATCTGCTCAATCTCTTTTGAACACGGTTGATTCTCGAATTGTTTTCCAAATTCTTTTCCGAAATCCTTGCCAATCTGTATCGGGTAATCTATCATCATAACACACATATTGCATCCAACATCATCTTTTGCGGTTACGATTTTTCTTTCATATACACCAAACAGTTCATCATCCTAGTGAAATAATTCACAATTTTCTTCTTTCTGCACAGAAAAATGGAATTTCATACAATGGAGCGGAAAAAAGTGTAGAAATCTGAGAGAAAAATAGTAGAAACAGTTAGAGAACTAACTCCCCAATACTTGCTCTTCCAAATTTTCTATCTGAATTCGCATTAGACTTTGAGACTAACAACTTTATTGAAAGTCCATTTTCATATTTGAGAGTGATTTTTCTATTCAAACGCATGCTTGAGTCAAAACTTGCTATGATTTTCTTTCTCAAAAGAATGAATGAGGGAGATGTCTTACCCAAAAACGCGAGGAGATTTGGAGAATGAGGCTTCAACAATGGCAATAACTTGTGGTAACGCAGAAAGATGAGATAAATGAAGAAGATGACCGTGAGAAATTATGGTTAATGAAAATAGGTGAATTAGAGTTGAAAAATGTTAGTTATTAATTAGATTAACTTAAATTATTAATCAACTAATTTTTAAGTAAATGTGAGTAATTAGATAAAGTTAAATTACTAACCAACTAATTTTCCAGTAAATGCCACATAGTTTTAATTTTAATGGTAAAATGAAAAAATATTACAGCATGTATATATCACGTAAAATATTCTAATGACTTTGAAAAATCAAAACAAGAGAATTTCCGTATATTAGAGAGAGAATCTAGATTTTTTTAAGGGAATATTTTAAAACTCCTCACATAACATAGACAAAATGCCTATTAACCCTTTTTAAAATAAGTTGATAACAAACTGTAAATTGAATATACCATAAACAATTCTAAATTCATCCAAATATTTATAAACTCAAATGAACTATTCTAAAGGCATACACTCTTATCTAAAATGATGATAATAAACTAACAGCATTAAATTCAAGTTAACATTATGCCTTGCTATTTTATGAAACTTAGATCTTTTACACCTAATAAGTATTGAAGGCAATTTTTTTATGGAGCCATTCTTAGCATGACTAAGTGCCTATCAGGTATAAGTATAAATAACCATTCAAAAACTCAAACTAACATTGAAAAATAACTTGAATGTAACGAATGGACTCTTGCTCATATGATAAATGATTTAATACTAAGCTTTTTTCATATATAAATAAATAAAAACAGTTTCACCTAAATATGTACATCTTGAGAAGATAACGTTATTTACTGTAATATTTAGAGATAGTTACACGTTGCCTCACAATCTCATAGAATAAATGGAATAATAGCATATCGACGGCTTGGATAATCTTCAAATTTACGACGATACCAGTTATGTGTTTCTACTGCTGCAAATGCCAGATTTGCCACCTATAACAAACAAAAACAAATATGTGAAAAGCAAGTCAATATCAAAACATTAAAACCATGCTAAATCTGGTGGAGAAATATTACCACAAAAACAAAAAGTAGCCAGATCGTTAGATTGGATCCACCAGTAGCAACCACAAAACTGGCATATATAACCTTCATAATCATCAAATATTAGGCTTAGTCATATGTGTCATTGCAGTATATAACTGTATGAGTAATAGAGACAAAGAGAAAGAAAGAGGGTTACAATTTCAGCGAGATAGTGCGGAGAGGAAACGATTTCAAACCAATCACCATGAGGAATTACATACTCATCTGCGTGTCTTGAATCACGTAGAGAACCCTGTCAAAAGTATCCAACTCAGACAGTCTCGTAACCAATAAATTACAAGAATGTTAAGGTAACATAATCAAAGTAGAAGCCATGATGATGAAAGGAGATAGCAACTTAAAGTCGCGAGGACATGAACAAAGTATTTGTTATCCATGTTTTGTGGGTGATACATACAAGAATCTTATGGCACCGGTATTGATGAATCCATCCCCACGAGAAAACAGCTGCACCGATCCAATGCTTCCACCCAAGCCTGGTCAGGGGATTTAAAACTAGCCAGAAGTCTATCTCTGGTAAAGGCATCTGATTCTTGCCTCTAACAATGAACTCAGTTACTAGATTTGCTAAGCAGTCAAAAACTTTCAATGCACAATCGCCACACAGCGATAATGGTGCTGCTATGTAGAAACTAGCTTCAATAAAGAAAACAAATCAATCATCTACATTTTAGTATTTCCCAGAGTATAACAATTGACAAAATAAAACTAAAAAGTGCAAGTCAATGAAACGCTGCAATCAATATTTGCTATATTTGCTGTGACATTGTCATCTAAGAACACAGATATATGACCGTCAAGGCCGTCTTGAAGGCGTGTCAGACGGACTACTGTACATGGCCTAAAATTTGTAACGATTAAATCTTAGTTAAATAAGGCATCATAAAATGTTTGGCACAGTTAAACCATAATTAAATAGGTCTCTATATGTTCCAAAAACTTGAGACGGCTCTGATGATCGTGTTGTACAATTAGAACACATTTGTTTCAATTCCAACAATTTAACATGCTTATCCTCATCGAGTCAAGTAGTTTTAGAAAGGATTAAGAAGAAACTCACAACAATCCAGTGAAATAACCAACGATATGCATCCGAGCAGAAGGGCTATAATTACACACATATATAGTTTCAAAAAGGCGTCGAAGAACATGAGCTTCCATCAACAAAAGCAGATAAACACCTTGCCATGCAACATAACCATGCCGCAAATCAGCAGAACCAGTTCTAATAGTTAAACCACCAATCAAAAAACTAGTTAAAGTAGGAAAAGACAACGGCTCCATAACAAGCGGCACCATTCTATAAGCATACACCCAAGTTGCAACAAGCAGAAACATTGTCCATATTGAAGCCACAACATAGAAATGCAAGAAGAATCTCTGAGGAACAGTAAATTTCTGCAAAAAAAAAAAAAAAAAAACTTTCATTCGACCCATCAATTTTTTTTAGTAGAGCTAGCTACCCATTAGTGAAAAGATGATAAATTTGTGCATTAAATGAATAAAAACGAAAAGGGTTGTTACTTGAGAAGAAGAAGAAAAAGAAGAGGGGTGCATGGTTTTTCCTCTCTTTGCGAAGACCAACAAGATTTTCCGGAGGAAGTTGAGTTTGGGAATGGGAATGGAAGCGATGATGATAGGCAATGTGGCAGCGATCCAAGACAACCTCAGGAATAGAACAAGAAGTGTCTCCAT